CTGCTTGATGGCTCCAGTTCCACTTCTGGGAAAAGACTCCTTGCGATAGCAAATCTTTGCATAGAAGTAAGTTTTATGAATGAAAGTGTGCCAGTGATTTTGTTAGCAAAGAAACACGGTTATGGAAACAGAAATCCTGAGCCAGTTTTATGCTGCCATGCGAGCAGGATCCACAAACAGTAACTGTATGAGCAAAAAGTCATTGAGGTTTTGCCAGAGCAGATATTAATAGATTGTGGTAGGCTCCAGATGCTATTTCTGCTTAGGGCTTCATCGTATTAGAGTGTTTTTTAAATGCAGCACACAGCAGAGCCACCACCTGACACTGCTCTTACCAGAATGACTGAGACAGAGCTGCCCAGTGACCTGACAGACCCAGGAAGCCTGACGAGCTCGTCAATTACTTTCCCTTTTGCTTTTCATGTTAATGAAGAATGAAGGGAGTTGCAAATATATGATGGGCTGATGTGCGTCTTCTGTGTGACATGGACCTTCTCAGTAATATGCTCTTAGTTTCCATGAGCCAGCTCAACACCTATTGCCACAGTTCTATTCCAACAAGGCAGCGCAGTGCAGGAGAAGCCGGTTAGGATTAGTTTATACTTGGTTAGCAGTGTTGCTAGTTGCTATTTGCACAGGCCAGAGCAATATAAATAGCTGCATTTGGTCTAAATGTCAGCACAGACAGGGACTGACACAGAAATGCCCCACTGGAAGTGAGGGCTGCTAATACCAGCATTTACCTCAGTTTCAAGGGTTCAGTTATGACCTTGGCTAAAATCAGTTGAGACCATGCAAACCTCAGACTTTCCAATTGAATGCCTTCACCATCTGTGCTCAAATGACTTGTTCACTTAAGAAGCATTCTGGTGAGGAGCAATTTATCTGAGAGCTGCCCGGGAGCTTCAGCCAGCTCAGAGTTTTGTTGGGTTTGGGCTGATGCACCTCATGTTTGTGACTGTCTTTGAAATGAAGGAACAGTGGATGTGGAAGGTTTAACCCCTCGCCCCACATGCCCCAGTTGCTCCTGGTTTTTCTCCACTTGGGTCAATGAGGGGAGTGTTTGGGTCTTACCTGTAATGGCAAAGCTGAGTCCTGAGGCTGCTAACTGCTTTCTGAGATTACCTTTGAGACAGCCAGCTGCAGCAAACCTTTGTGTCACATGCAAGTTCTCATACTGACCACACCATAAAGAGTCCCTTAGAACAAAGAACGCAATTTCAAGATTTCTGTTCTTTCTCCATCTCCTGTTTTTCTGTTTCTCTCTGATGGGGAAAGCAAATGCGAAAGCAGCTGGGATATATCATGCTGCATCTGCTGCTGCCTCCAAAGGTCTGTTGACTGAGGCATGTGAACTCTGTGTGGCAACATGGCAACACCAGGTTGGAGAAAAGCCCTTGGAAACTGGTAGAAGTCTGCATGAAACTTTGCTATGTAATTTGTACTGAAATGTGGGGGGGAAAAAAAAAGGAAGGAAACTGAATGAAATTTTGGCGAACTTTTTGCTTTTCATTGATTTTGGAAAGAGCTACATTTAAAAGCACAGGCCTGTACCTCTGATCTGCCACTGCTTAGCTTACATTTTTCATTTTTTTGGTACTATCTCATTCCTTCAGCAGTTTAATTTTCATTTAATTTCTGATTATTGACAGAGAGACTGAGGTAAACCCTTGTGCCTGCACTTTCTCATCAGTGAGAAAGACAATAGAATAGAATAGCTGCATTTGTCTTTAATTTCTTATCAGCAGTTCAGCGTCCTGCATTACAGAATCACAGGATCATACAATTGCTGGGGTTGGAAGGGACTTCAAGAGATCATCAAGTCCAACCCCCCTGCTAAAGCAGGTTCTCTACAATAGGTTGCACAGGTCGGTGTCCAGACAAGTCTTGAATATCATCATGGAAGGAGACTCCACAACCTCTCTGGGCAGCCTGTTCCTGTATGTCTAGAAACAGCGTGTGTTTACATTTGCTTTGTTCAAATATTGAACAATGTAATACAGGATTTACAGCTGGTTAGGAATTAATTCTAACCTGATCATATTTGTTGAGACCATACAGTGAAAAAAGGGATCTCAAGAAACTGTGTGTGACAATAGTCCAGTCAGCTGCTGCATCGTATTTTCCTTACACATGATACCCCTACAGCAGGTGCTTGCTGAGTTACCCTTGCTGTCCCGTGATGGCCTGAAAGAGACAGTGAACATTTCACAAATCACCCCTCGTGGCTTGATGAAAGCCAGGGGATGTCACTACCTGTTTTTTAGGCTGCTAAATTATCCCAAGCACCATTAAGCCCCTTGTGCCACATGGCACATACTCTGCTTCATCATTTAGCAGGTCATCATGCCAAGGCATCACATTTATAGCCCGTGAATGCTCTCCCCCACAGCAGCAAAGCTCACTTGTGTCGCTCTTTAATTTCCTGATTTTACACAGTGTTAGAGCAGTTCCAGGGTCTGTGGAAGTCCCTTCCCTCAATGCACAGCTGTACACTGATAGCAGTTTGGTAACAGAGCAATTCCTGTAGCTAAGTGCAACAACATTTCATGTATGAAATTGTGCTGCTGTGAGCACTGGAGCTACACAAGGCTTCTTTCAGAGGGGTGCTGAGTGCTCCTGAAGGCTGCAGTTGCACCAACCCTGTCCGTGTACCACTCTACAGCACCCTCCCTCCCTAGGTTTTTAGCTTCTCCCATTGCCAGTCATTGCACTGGGACCCATTCCTGGGCCCAGTCCTCTACGGTACACAAACTGAGTTTGTCATTGCTTGTTTGACTGGTGACAGTGCTGCTGGAGAAATACAGAATAATGCTTTCAGAATAATAGTGTAGGATAGCACAATGTTACGGATGACTGGAACTCCCAGACCAACAGTAAATATTCTCTTTTTTTAACATGGATACAAACTGTGGTTGGATGAGAGTACGGCTGTAGAGAAAGAAAAAATAAAACAGCAATGAGAGCCACTATGGGAGCAGATCCAGCTATTTGGCTGGGAAGAATTGAAAAAATGATTACCTTTTATGTACAGAAGACTTGTAGTTTGGAGATATGAGCTCCAAGCAGAAGCTGCTAAAGAATACATCATGGTTTTCTCTGCCTCAATGTCACCAAAGTTGGGATATAAAATGGCTGAGAACACCTCAAGAAGGAGGGAAAGGATAAGTTAAGTGAGTTTTTATCACACTTTAAAAGTTTAAACATTCACTTAGTATAAATCTACTTATAGAATTAAGTTAATAAAATCAAATCTTAAAAAATGATGTTAACTTTTATGAGAACCCCATAACTACTATGGCAATATTGTAGGAGTTCCACAGAACTACCTCTCATCAAACATTCTTAAGATGTGAGCTTTTATGATGTCCTAGCAGACACTTCTTTCCCTATATTACTAGAGTTAGTAAAAATAATTTTTAAAAAAAGCAGACTGCTAACAGTTGGGAGAGAGAAGATGCAACTGTTGAAATATGTTATGTTGAAATAGGAATCAGAAAAGACTCATAGAGAGATGGGCAATAAAGGAGTCTTAGGACCTTTGTTTTGTTTACTGGGTTACTGCTGAGAGGAAGCATGCGATTGTTTGTTTATGACCTGGTCACCAGGAAGCCTATGGGCCAATCACTTCTTTTTCAGGTGTAATTGTCAGCTAAATGCTGGGTTGGGTTTGGAGTCAGTCCTTGTGCAATCTGTTCGATAGCAGAACATACAGCATACAGAAGTCTGCTTTGTTTGCAAGTAAATAAGCATCTTTCCACAGTAAGAATAACTTGAAGATCAGTTTAAAGCTTCAAAACAGAAAGTTTATCTGATGGTTTTGTTATACCTGCCGTGTTCCTTAAAAAAAAACAAAAAAACAAGACAAAACAAAAGTAGCTCTCTGGAAATGCACTTTCGGAATGCTAAATAAGCCCCGTGTTGGTTCTGTTTGACAGCCATCCTTTCACCCTGTGAAATGAAAGTTGTTGGCTCTAGAAACACGTTATGAATTGTGCTTAGGATTTCTTCTCAGCCCTTCAAGTGATGCTGGAACAGCAGCAACCTGTTTGTCTCCTTTGCATCTGGACTGTGGACTGCAGTAGCTGTTAAAAGGAAAGGCACATTTAACCAGAACAGTTTTATTTGTTTTGGGTCAGTTATAAAAGCAAGTGCTAATGTTTGCAAAATCGTTTTATGAGCAAATGGCCCTTAGGCCACTAACTGTGCACTTCTCAGAAAGATGCATTAGAGCAACAAATCTATCTAGCTTGTGAAGAGTAATGTGGTACTTCAAGCATACCACAAACACATTTCAAAGCCCCAAAGCATGTGCAAATTCAGGGAAATATCTACAGAGCTTTTATATGAATTAGAGACCAACAGACATCCCTTGCGCTGGTGTCACGGAGTGCAATAATATTACAGAGCCACTAAGTGATACCTTTTGCCTCTATTGCTAGATGTGACTTTACTGTTCATAAATATCTCAATTTAAGATCAATGTGGAGTTTAAATAAATTGTTTCCAGTGTGGGCAGTGTACAGCCCTGATCCATTTCTCTATCCTCTGCTGGGCACTCTATGGTTTTGTCTTGACTTAAAGCGTTATGGTAAGATTGCTATGAAGTCCTGATTATAGTAACATTTTTACTCTAATTAACTGTTGTGTGTCAGATTTCTGACACTGGTTGCCGCTTTTGCAGGACCAATCTGCAATCTAGTTTTATAAAAGAAAGCAAAACATGCAAGGAACATGGCCTTGGGAAATGTAACAGACTTGGGAAACATAATCCTTTTTTATTGACTCTTATTATTGATTGTTAGGAGAGGAAACCCTTTTTGCTTTGTGGAGCATTTTTAATCTTAATTCAGGTGTACAGATATAAAAATGGCAATAACAACCAACAACAAGGTGAGTTTAAAATGAACTGAAAAAGTAATAGACTAAAAGATACTTAGGCTGTCTAAGCTTATCAACAAGATGCAATTTGACAGCACTCCATATTTCTTCTCTTTTAGCCACATAATCAATGAGCTGATAGAAACCGAGCGTGTTTATGTGGAAGAACTTCAAAGCATAATAGAGGTAAGAAAATCTGTAAATTCTTCTGACGCTTGACCTCTAAGTCATCACTGGTGTTGCACATCCTTCATGGGCTGAGCACTCTCACCTCCCACTTTGTGTTCAGAGAACACAGGTTCTCTGTCAACAAGATTGCTCAGCCTCAGACATGGAAAATAAAGGGATGTTTTGAACATCCTACCTCAGGGCCAGAGGCACTTTCTGTTACACCAGCCCACGGAATGATGAAAGTTGCATCATTTTCAAAGTTATGGTCGGATAAATAGTTAGTAATGTGCCTTTTCACATCATCAGTAACTTTAGAAACAGCATCCTTGTTTTCCAGGGGGTCAGAATCTAAGTTTCTCTGAATGTATGTTTGGAACATGATTGATAAAGGTAGGCCAGTGTCACAACACTGGCTCAGTCTTGTGTGCATTTGTGTGGGATCTGAAGGACTGACTGGTATCTTTTTGCAACTATGTCGTTGCTTCTTCATCCAATTTGATTTGTGGGAGCTGACAGCTCTGATGATTGATTATTCTGACTTTAAAATCTATAATCAGAATGTTTTTCTCTCAAAAATGTGTATGCAAAAAATACAACTGAGCTTCTATGAGAAACAACTGAATAACCATGTAAAATACCACAGCCTAACAAATAAATCTAAACCTTTTTGCAATGAAACAGTGTAGCAGAAAGTCAAGTGTCTATCAAACTTAGCAGTTTCCATCCCTTTTGATTAGTAGGAACATGATTTAATCTTTTCTGTTGATCCCATAATCTGTCCACTTGTGGTTAAGAATGTATTTGCACAGCTATCAGGTGTAATAGCTCTGGAGAAAATGAGAAGCATCAGAAAATCATTAAGCAACAAAGATACTGGCACAGGGAGAAGCTGTTGTATGCTCTGCTGAGAAAAAAAGCACACATACTGAGGGGCTTTTTAGTGACTCAGATACACTATTTTTTTCCTGGTAAAAATAACCTGGTTTTATTTTTCACTCTCCTCTGCAGGGCTATGCTTCAGAAATGGACAATCCAAGTTTATTACATCTGATTCCATCAATGCTCCAGAACAAGAAGGATATTCTATTTGGAAACCTCCCAGAAATCTATGAATTCCACAACAGGCACGTGTGAATTGCTGGTTGTCCTGAGCCCTTGCTGCTGCTGACTCTTCTACTGCCTTTTCACAGGGTGCTTTGTTACACCCATGTGTACACAGGCAGGGAAAGTCATCCTCACTTTGCCTCTGTATGTGTCCTATAAAACCCATGTGTGGAGAATACCTCTGAGATCATCACTGTCATCTGTTTGTGAAAGATTATCCCTTTTGTGCATTCACTAGTGATCTCCCTTGGCATTATTAATTTTGAATGTCTCTAGCAGTAAATATTTTTTGTTCTCCCTTGATAGTCTGATAAATGTCCCTTTGCAAACCTGGTAATTCTTTTCCTAAAAGCTTAGTGCATTGACTTCCAGTGACTGCAAAAATGGAATGCAGCCCATATTTTCACTGCTCGCTGATTAAACAACTGCATTTGACAGATCTTTTCTGTCTTTTCTTGCTGTTCTGAAACATGCTCGTAACCAAATGGGAAGTGGGTGTTTGGGCCACGTATTGAAAATAAATCTGAACAGCCAGAAGAACCAGATGTATCAAATGCTTGTGAGCAGATGAAGACATGATAATATTGGTGTTTCAGGCAATCAGCTGTGAACCACATTCCAGTTTTCTTAAATATATATAATATCTTTCTTTGTGTGTCAGAATTGTTATGTTCCACATTGAATCCTTTCACTACAGGAACATAGACTTTAATCTAGATTTACATGGTAGCTAGCATGTGTGAACAGAATGTTCCATTATTGTTTGCTTTCCTTTGTTTTTCACAGGATTTTCCTCAAAGAGTTAGAAAATTGCATTGAAAATCCTGAGCTCCTCGCCCGATGCTTTTTGAAAAGGGTAAGCAAATCTTTTTCTAAGTCCGTGTGAATATCCATGTTCTTGTCCAAAAATACTTACAGATTTTTTATCCTTTCACTCTGATTGCTATTGTGAATGAGGGAAACTCATATTAGCAGATATTCCCAGTGTGTATTTTGAAATCTGAGCCTGCTTACTGGCGGGAAGAGATCCATTAGCAGTGTTTTACAAATGTATTTTAAGCTCTGATCGGAAAAAAAAAAAAAAAAGATCAAAATGTCAACTTTCATATCAGATTAAGATATGATGCCCAGAACCTGATGTACACCTGGCACCACACTGCTGTAAATAAGCAGGAAATGATATAACAGCATATTGCTCTGAGTGCAAATAGCACAGCCTATCTCTGTCTTCTTTTCTCTACACCATTCAGGAGACTTACTTCCCTGAAACTGATTCAGTAGAGTCTACCACCTTCCTTGTGTGGTGAATCTCTACCAGCTCCATTACTCCAAGACCAATTCTTTTACTTCTTCACGTTATTTAAAAACCAAGAGAGATTCTCCTCACTTGGATGAAGTGGTGAGGGTTAGATGTTTATTTGAAGTAGTTTGAGATCAATACATGAGAAAACCCAAAGCCTTAGAGTGGTGGGTTTGGTCAGACACACGCATCTTTGCTTCCTGTGGATTTCAGTACCTAAGTTCCGCAGCTCCATCCCCTGAGAGCTCTCATCCATGCTGCCATTAGTGTGGCTGTTAGCCCCGTTTCCTGTGACCCAACAAAAGGTGTTCGTGTGTCTGGCACTCATTCAGAGGTCCCACTAATCAGAAAAACCTGATTTGATGAGTTGCTGCTGCTTTCCTGCTTAATTTTCATTGACAAGGAACTGTATGAAATACAGATGTATTTAGATGAAACCTACCCGCCCCAGTTCTCAGAGGTGCTGAGCACTGCCACAACTTTAAGATTTCAATGAGAAATGTGAATTTTTCCAAAGAACAGGCTTTACAAACAGGGTTTACAAACAAGTTATGCTGAAGGTCATCGTACCAGTGTATGTGTGATTATAGTCAGCTGAACTCTTCTCTGGTTAGCCACCAGTATTTAGCGCCTGAGTAAATGGCATTACCAAGGACTATGTTGTTAACCTAAGATTCAGATGCTGAGCAGGAAAATATTGTGGTGAAATCATTATGCAAAGTAGGATAAATGGTCACTGAAGAATGCAGGCCATTGAAATCCAGGAAGCGCGGAATAGTCTATATATTGTAAATATCCCTGGACTTGGAAGGTAGAGAGAAATTCATAATGCAAAATTGATCCTATTATTCTGCAGAAAGATCAAATTCCATGTTCCAGTTTTGCAGCAGAACAGCTGCTGAGCCAATTCTCATTGTTCCACCAATATAAAATAAGCTGCAGTAAAGCTTTGGGTCATGTGTCAAGTGAAAGAAAATCAGTTCTTTTGTCACCTCTGCTTATCAGCCTCCATGGACTAGTCAAACAATACCAAATATATCTAGTAAGAAATTAAACCATGTATTAGTTTAAATCATGTATTAGCTTTTTCACTATTTCAAATTTCGTGCTAACAAAGCAAAAACCTGTCTCTGGAAATGTCTCTGCTCACACAGTAGCACCTTTGATTCAAGGAATTTCCCTCATGTACTGTTTTTAGACGAAGCCACATAAACTCCAGAAAGTTGTTGTTTCTGTTGGACTGCCTTAGGAGGCACAAACAAAAGCCTGGTTGTGTGTTTGTGTTCCCCATGATTTGGCAGCTTTTTTGCATCTTCCCACTGAGCAGAGGCTTCTGGCTTGCCCTGTGAGTTATGACTGCGCTTACTGTGGCATGGGGGAAACTGAAACAGATGCTCTTCAAGGAGATGTTTAGTTCTGGGAGGAAACTCACTTTGTTGCAGATTCATTTCTGTGTTTCCCCATCCTTGTACTTGTGTAACCTTCCTGCCACAACACCATGGTGAGCCTATGCTTTGAAATAGACTGATTTTTAGATTCATACTTTCTGAAGAATATTACCCTGTCTGATCGCACTTCACCTTCCAGAACTGCTTGAAAGTGTTCCAAGAGCTGCAGTGGGATGCCCTTGTGCCTGGCTGAGTTTCCTTCATCCCCTGCCTGTCATTCCCCTGCCATGTCCACCCACATCCTCCCACCTCCACCAGTGCCACCTGGACAGCCATCACCTCATAAACGAACCCTTATTCCCAGGTTTATTTCTCAGGTCCCCCCATCCTCTCAGGATGGGAGGAGCAGCATGGGAAGTTCCCATGTACTTCTCCTCTCAGACTTCTCTTCTGGAACACAGCAGCAAAATCAGGTGCAAGATGAGCCAGAATCTTATCCCCCTTTACACTTTGCCTGTCCTTGTCAGGATATGATCGTGAAGTGAACATTCTAGTCCTTATACCACTATAAAAATTAAAGCTGGATCTGCCTGAGCTGGTGTCACTGATACGTGCAGTGGTGAACTGTGTTGACGACATAGGACAGTTCCACTGTGGCAAGTTACTCATGAATTGTTTACCATTTTATCTTTTCTTTATATTAAACAGATACTCATCTTTTGCCCCCCCCTTCTGAGCATCACTGTTTCTGTTCTTGCCCAGTCCAATTATATTTCTGTGCACCAGGAACAGATTGCAATGCTTGATTACACTTTTTGATTATTTTACTTTTCTGAATTTTACTCCCTGCTAACTTCCATCCAATGCAACATGTGCAGACAATCCTATTTAGATGATTAAAACTCTATGTTTCTTTTGAAACAGCACCATTCGTGTTCTACAGAGAGCAATGGAGCTTTTTTTATTGCATAATCCTTGACACAGTGAGGTGTTGCACAGCCCTGCTTTCGTCTGATTCATCAAGGTGACGTCAACATGAGACTATAGAGGAAGACAGATACCAGTTTCTTCTAGTAGCTCTATCCAAAAGAAAATGTTTTCCCTGTACCAAGAGTAGGCAGGCACTGTTCAGCGCTGAAAGCACAGAGGAGTGAACCAGAAATACCCTTCCTTTGTTTTTGGTACTGTCTTTGATTCACCAAAGTCATGTCCACCTGGGTGAGTGCAGACAGAAAGGTTCCAAACTGTTCACACACAGGCAATCTTGCTAAGGAATCTGTATGGTACTGCTCTGCAGTGGCATGGCTGTAAGACTTCTGAGCAACTGGACTTGTGGTTAGCGAGCTAAGAAACTAGCAGAGGAACACCTGCCTCTGCCCAACCATATAGCCTAAAGACCTTGAAATCTCTTTAGGTTTCTACTGAGATTCCCTTTGTCTTCACTGAGGTCAATGAGATTTTGTTATGGACTGAAGTGGGAGCACCTGGAGAGTAGCCAGAGGACAGATCAAGTGGATCTACTGCTTCTAATCTGGATAGGACAGAGTTTAAGTGGTTTTTCCTGTCTGGCCTGTAGCATCAAAATTACTACTTACTGGTCTGTGCCAGTAGCATTAATAAAAATCTTATTTATTTATTTATTGTTTTCAAATAATCTACTTCCCTCTCTGAAAGATAACAGTTTTGCAATTAGGTTATGTGTCTTTTAATCTAGTGCCTGCTTCATTTGTGCAAAATGTGGGAAAACATCATCTTCTGGTTTATGTAACTTCACAACATTAAAGTGCAGGTTTGGTAGCTTCAGTATATTTTTACATATAGACTTACGACCATGAATTCATTACTTCTGTGTGTTAGGATGGAAGGTAAGAAAAAGTCTGATTCATGGCAGATGCTCTATTGATTATTTATTACTTTAAGCTCTCCTTTTCTTGCAGAAAGAGGACCTCCAAATATATGAAAAATACTGTCAGAACAAGCCAAGGTCTGAAGCTCTCTGGAGACAGTGTGGAGACAGCATCTTTTTTCAGGTGGAATTACACTGCAGACTAGCAGCGGGAGACCATCAAAACTTGGTTTTTTTTTTTTCCTTTGCTTTAGAAAATGTACAGAAAAATGCAGACTTTTCTTGTGCTTCTTATACTGATGGCAGGTGCTCAGTGTGTGTAAATGTGCTCTCTATAGGAGATTAGATAGATAGAATAGTTCCTGGACAGGAGGAACTTCAGGCTACAGCAAAGCCAAACAATTTCTGGCTTCTCTGCAAACCCCAGATGATTACATTCTCATGAGCAGGGCATGCCAGATTTCAACATTAAGTTGAACCTCTGATTAGTTCTGTTTTGATATATTTTCATTTTCTGGTGTAAGTAACCTGGAAAATCCTATGCAGACAGAGCAAATTTCTCTCACAATTAGGAGACATACCACCTTCAGATTACCAAATGATAATGATCTGGGAGTCTTGCCTGTGTATCAAGAAACAGTATTTTTCCTCTTTGTTGTCTCTTGCAGGAATGTCAGCGTAAATTGGATCATAAGCTCTCGCTAGATGCGTATCTTTTAAAGCCAGTCCAGAGAATCACCAAGTACCAGCTGCTATTAAAGGTAACTTTTCCATGATGATGCAAAGGATTCCAATGCATAGCTTGTTTTACTTATAGAATTGCTTATTAGTATTATTTTCTGGAGGACTGACTGGAAAGTCAGTCGAGCAGGACACAGGCAGTGGCCGCAAGTTGTATCAGAGGAGGTTCAGGTTGGACATAAGGAAGAACTTTTTCTCTCAGAGGGTGGTCAGGCACTGCAATGGCTGCCCAGGGAGGTGGTGGAGTCGCCGTCCCTGGCAGCGTTCAAGAGGCGTCTGGACGACGTGCTGTGTGATGTGGTTTAGTGCTTGTGGTGGCAATGGTGATGAGGAGATGGTTGCACTGGATGATCTTATAGGTCATTTCCAACCTTGTGATTCTATGATTCTATGATTCTATGAAATCATCTCTTACTTCACCAACAAATACTTTTTAATGCAAAATAGCAACAGAGTCAAAAAAGGACTACTATTTCAGGATAAGTACTGCTGGGGGAAAACAAAATAGAGTATTTTATGTAGCAAATATTTTATTGTTTTACTTATCTTTAATCAGAAATTGAAATTGTTTTTATTTGCTCAGTGTGGCTTTACAGTTTAAAAACAGGAATTGATATTCTCTATCCCAACTCTGGCATCCATCCTCATTTAACTCTTTTAACATCCTCATAGAACTCTTTCAGCTCTCTGAACCAACTTGTGGTAGTTGTGACTCAAACCTTTCAGAAGGAGCCACTCCTACATTTAAAGCCCCAACTAAGAATAAATTGTCTGCAATTTTTCTACAGGATGAGTATAGGAGCTTCCCTTTTGATTGGTTGGAGCTATAAGACCACTGTCTGTGCTTGAAATTCTGGTCAAATTGGGCCAGTTTAAGCTATGTGAGGATCTGGATGGTCATTCGCCTCTGCAGTAGTTTTGTGACCTCTTACTGGATAACTATAGAAACCAAAAATTGAAGGAGGTTGTTAAAAAGCATGCAGCTTCACTGAATCCAGTACAATTGTATCAACTTAATCCAGAAATAAATTTGGTTCAATTTCTTGAAACTGTTCTGGGAGAGAGGAGAAAATGTCAAAGTGTTCAGAAGAGCAAGACTAAACCAGATTATATTTTTAATTTGAAAAATGCCTGTAAATATAACAAGATCAAGGAGCAAAATTCTCCAGCAAAACAGGTAGCAGCTATTAGGGTTGAGGCTGGTCAGACCAGTTTTATACTTGGCAAAACATTGGCAAGAACGTTTATTTTGTCAAGGATTATGAGATCTATGAAGATGGTGCACTGTATCTCTGGTAGCAGGAGTTTTTATGGGTATAGGAAAACAGGAGTCTGAAGAATTGGTCACAAAGAAGTGCCTTAGTGGTGTGCCTTGACGCTCTGTGATCAGACTAGTTTTAAATTCTGGGTCACAGTTATGAAACCAGAGGGCTGCAAGTCAGTATAGCTAATGTTAAAAAGCACCAGTCCCACTATACAGAGAGCAGGGATCCATAGTGGAAACTGTGCAACAGGTAACATAAGAATGCATCCTGCTTCTAGCCTCTAGGACCTGGTTACCTCAGTATTTGAGGACAGAATCCTGCCATTTGGGATCTTCCAACTGCTTTGAGATTCATGTCTACTCACAACTGTATGAACTATATGTGGATTTGTATCTATTAAACATTTTTCCCCTAGATGCTTTTAGCAAGGACATAAAGTCTGATTCTGATCTCAAGTGGACACTCATTGCCAAGAACTACTTTCTACAAAATAAAGTAAAAAAACCCGAAAACATAACAACAAATATCTGTGCATCTGAGTGAAATCCTAGGCTTCTCTACAGGCAGAAGTGCAAGAGGCAAGGCAGCTTATACCATTTAAAAACAGAAGATTTTTGTATCTTTCATGAATTGCATAGGTTGTAACTGTTGGTTCAAGGAAAATAATTAGAACTAGAACTTTTCAAGCGAATAACACACATAGAAATAAGAGAACCTTGTAAGGACCTCTACTGGGCTAAGTAAGGTGTTGGCCTTAAATATTTGGGGCTTTAAATAAGATCTCTTTGTGAAGTAATCACAACAGTTGATCCCTTAAAAAGTTTGATTTTTTAGTTTCTTTGCTTTGGGCACATGCTTGTCAAGGATTCTGTGTCTTGTTTTTAATGCGGAGATGGGAAGATGGAATGACCTTATTTCAAGCAGAATTCAATGTTTAATAATTTTTATTTGCTAAGTACCAACATCATTCTTCAAAATGACTATCCCTTAAAAAAGTTTTTCACATTTGCAAATGCAGATCTGTAATCTGTAGTGGAAAAGTGTAGAGAATAAGAGATGGGAAGGATTTGTAGTAATTTGTCTTACTTCCTCCCAAAAAATTGACATCTGAAAAACTTGTTTTATAGATCAAAAAATCTTCACTTAATGTAGAGAAGAAAGATTTGTGAGATAATCTGACCATGGTCTAAACATCTATCCAGGAATTGATTGTTTTTTCCATGCAGAATTTCTTCATTCATCAGATAAGAGCTTACTAAGACCTTTTGATTGGAACCTCAAGCCTTACAAGATCAAACTAGAAATTAATTAATATTTTCAGTAGTGGGGATACAAATCGGAACAAATTCTCCAGGAAAATTGTGAATTCTGTAATACCAGAAATCATTATACTAAGATTGAGTTTCTTTTCTAGCAGGTATGAAGTAAAAAAAAAAAAAAGGAAGTAGTTTTGTGATATATGAAAGATGATTGTAACTGTGTAAAAATGCTCCTATCCCATCTTAAATAAACCCACAAAACTTGAACATGTGAAGAATTTCAAAGTATTCATCCTCAGTGACAATCCTGGTGAATGTTCTGTTTTTATTTTATCCTGTATTTCTGCTACACAGATTTCAGAGAGGACTGGGTTGTGTTGGCTTCTGATATAAGAAATTTTCAAATACTTTTCTCATCATTGTTTCATCAGGAAATGCTGAAATGTAGCAAGAATTCAGAGGGTACTGCTGAACTGGAAGAGGCCTTGGCCACAGTGCTTGATATCATCAAATCCGTAAATGACTCCATGCACCAGATCGCAATCACAGGATACGAGGTATTATTTGTTGTTGCCCTTACTGTTGTCTTGACTCACAGAATGTTCTTTATCATCACGGATCACCCTGTGCCCATGGCTGGTACACTTTGAAGGAGCCTAAGTCACATTCTTGAAGGATGCTCTTCAGTGGCATGTTGTAGTTATCAAGAAGACTTGCCAACATACGTGGGTGTGGGTGGTGAATGTAGGAAGGAAATGGGACAAATGCAATCCTTGAGTAATCACAGACAAAACTCATTTGTAAGTGAGAGGCAGCAAAAATGAGTGACGTAACTTAAGAAATCTGCTGAAACTGTCTGCGACCCCAGTGCAACTCAAGCATCTCCAAATCTTTTGCTCTTAGGGAAGAATGTTTGGATTCGCTTTGAAGTGGGTAATAGAACCCACCCCAGTGACTGGCAAACTTATTATCTGAGATGTGAAATAACAGCTACAGTACAAATAAGGCCACGAATGTATATATATATCTACTGAAGCTCCACTGAAGTCATATGACTTAGAAGATCTAGTACAGAACATGAACCCTTCAGTGAGAAGTGGATATGACTAATGTAAAAAGGAGAAGCGTGTCTGATGACGTGAGGCCTGAGGGTGATGCGATTGCCCATTCTGAAATAGCTATAGGGTAAAAAAGTAGAGGAAAAAATGTAAGGTTCAAAGAATTATTTTATCAGAGTAATAACCTGAGCACCAGAAAAACAGTGCAGAATGTGACTTCCAGAAAAAGTGCTGGGGTCTGCACTGTGTCTAAGTGGAAAGAGCTAACTTTATTTTGCAGGATGGAAAGGCTTCAGAAGTTCTGATTTCTATATTTATCTCTTTCTTTTCAAGTGCATCTCCATCTGATAGCTGAGGAAACTATGCCTGTTGTGCCAGCATTATTTTATAAATGAATTTAAATGCGTGCCTAACTATGTATCATAGACCCACCATTTCTTCTCCTCATTCCATCTGTCCTTGGTGCTCGGCTGTGATGGCCAAATAAGCACCTCCCATTGCTCACAAAGCCACACCCCTTTTGAGACTTTTTCTCATGCAGACATGGTAGAAATACTTGCCAAAAACACCTTCAGAGACAGATACTGTGCCAGTGGAAAGGCAGGTTTTGTGGCAGCTGATGAATGCTCCTAATTGCATAGGCAGTTCTAGTTCCATGGAGCTGTGTACGTACAGGCTTGAGGAGTTGAACTCGTGTTTAACGTTGCTGTTTTGTTTTTTTGTTTGGTTGTTTTTAATGTTTTTATTTTGTTTGTTTTTAGCCAAGCCACAAAAAAGCAGAGTAAAGGACTTGGAAAGTGGAACATTCTGAGATGTCTCCTACAATCATTCTAACCTTTATATACAATGTGGCCTGGAAAGTTTGTCCGTTGGCTATGCAGCACATTAGCCATTCATACATATCTCCCATCTTTCATAAGCATGAGATCCAATGTATTGTTCTAACAGAAAATAATTGTATCTGAGATAAGGTTAAAATCATTCACCTTAAACAAACTTTCTTTAGGACCAATTATCACAGTTTACTAGCACAAGTTATCAGACATAGTGTGCTTCTGTACTTCTGTCCACAGTGAAGACACAGCCCAGGAGTTTTAGGCTGATATTCAAAGTCTTCTGCAGAGTCTTGCTGCAAACTGCCATCTCCATCCATCTAATGGATGAGAGTCCTAATAACATGCCTATGTGGAGTAGAACAGTACCTAAACATACCCTTATTTTGCAGTTAGATCTAAGGTAGAGTAGTGAGTGAGAAGGAGACTAATTTGCAATCTGTGCTTTAAGAAATCATTCCCACTCAGAACCTTCATCTGCCCTCATAATCCATAGAACATAGCAATGTTGAAAACGTGTCTTTTGATAATGAACTGAGCTTATTCTCTAAAACTATTATGCAAAGTACTGCCAGTTAAACTTGCCACTAGCATCATTATGCTCATCATTACTCACTGAAGCACATTACTATGTGGATGTAGCCATGTCCTCTGTATCCACATGTTACTACACTCTGTAACACTGTAATACACTGTGAGCGCAGCTCATAGTGCCAGCCAATTTCGCTCTGGATATGTACCATGTCCACACGTTATTACAGTCTTTAGTACTGAACTGAGCTGTAAATGTTTTGTTGGTGGAATCTGAGCCAAATGTCATTTATATCCATTGAAGTATTTGCCCATCAGTGGTCCTCATGTAAGGTCTTTAACTCAGAAAGGTCTGTTTCCTGTTTAGATTCATTCTCTCTCGGATACTTTTATGTATTTTTTACTCTTTGCCCAAGGCTGTACAGCACTGCATAGTTTACAGATGGTGAGCTGAGAAGCTATTGACAAAATGCTGTTTTGCAATGGGAGAGAATTACACACCTCATAACTCTAGGCACCAGTCTGTGTCTTCAGACATCTAAGTGTCTTTCAAGATCCTGCTCAGGGATGAATACATGAGAAGATCATAGCAGAGAAGAAACTGAACAGAGAATCTTTTGGAGCCAAAGCATTTGCTTGCATACCTTCACTAGCTTTTCATAATGCCTTGGAGTCGGGAGCACTGAAACTCAGTTCTTGTCAGAAAAGCTTGCTGCTTGTGTGATCATCAGAGGGGACAGCTAATGTACATGATGTAAATATGGTACTGACTCTAACTATTAATTGGGAGGCAAAGTGGGAATTATAGGCATGGAAAGCAATGTGTTAAACATAGTAGGAAGATAACACACAGGTTTAGCAAGATATGAGTAGGTGAACTTGCAGATGTAACATGTCTGCCCTCTGATAGAAGGGATGCCTGGGCAAATGCCTCTGCCCGGATGAGGGCTCTGTGCCTGTGATTAACCAAGTTTGGACATAATGTATGTTCTCTCTTTTCCTTGCCTGCTAGGGGGATGTAAGTGAGCTTGGTAAGCTGTTGATGCAAGGTTCCTTCAACGTGTGGACTGACCACAAGAAGGGTCACAACAAGGTGAAGGACTTGGCAAGATTCAAACCAATGCAGCGACACCTCTTTCTCTACACAAAGATGCTGCTTTTTTGCAAAAAACGAGAGGAGAACACAGATGGTCATGAGAAGACAGCTTCATACAGCTTTAAAAATTCATTAAAGGTAAAAAATGTGGTAATGGGAAAGGAGGAAGAAATAAAGTTTTTGTTCCAGCAATACAGGAGACCTGGAGTTATCTTGCAACACTGAGTAAATGGAAGCTCCCATTTTAGTTTTGGTTTGGAGACAGACCCAGTCATATGTGCTGTGACTCCAGATGTGAACCTTAGTTTTGCAACTCAATACAGCCTTTTAAAAATGCATCTTGGGGGAGACTGAACTTAAAGACTACTTACATTTTCCCAAGTGCAGCTTCTAATTTTCTATTTTGAAACAGATGAGCACAGTGGGCATCACAGAAAATGTAAAAGGAGATAACAAGAAGTTTGAGATCTGGTATAATGGTAGAGAAGAAGTCTATATCATCCAGGTAACAACAATCCTTTATTTCTGAGAACTATACTTCCTTTGAATTGAATATTTTTAACAAAGTTTTCAGTTTCATGAATTTCACTGTCCTGTACAGTCATGAAATAACAATTGAAATCTTCACTGTTGTGTTGGCTCTAAAATTACCAATATATCATTGTATATTTTGTATATGCCAATATATCATATGAACTTGGGCAGAAAAGAAAGCAAAGTAGTGGAAAATTACTTGGAAGATTGGACAGAAAGGCAAGGACTTGGACCTTAGATTCATGGTAACCTTTCCATCTTGAAAAGTATCCCTTCTTCTGATCTGAAAATCCAGCCATGGAATTTCATTCTTATGTGAAACTGAGAGCAAACATATGTTAGGATATCCAAGGGGTTGGTAGCATGCTTTGATCTGCTTTGCCTTTTCCTCTTGTGTCCTCAGGCATCTTCTGTTGAGCTGAAAAACACCTGGATTTCTGAGATACGCAAAGTTCTAACAGGACAACTGGAAGCATGTAGAGGTAAGACACAGTGTGATCTGATGATGCTGGTTCTTCCTGTAGCTGTGTATGACAACATGGAACTGGGATGACTTATAATGTCATTCATGACTAGCAATGAAACCAGCAAGAACTGAGCTTCTATGCAAGAGGACGAGTTGGATTGCATGAATAATTATTCCATTCACAATTAGTCTGAGGAATGTGATTTTCCTCTGTCCTCCCTCTCAAGCATAATGCTAGAGACATTCATTTTTATCAGCACATGAGGAGATGGAGGCCCAGACTTCGCTCCGTGCCTTCTTACAAGACTGACATGAAAGATCTCTCCACACACGGATGAGTGCACACAACAACTGCTTTTCTCTGTCTCATACTTTATTTTACTTCGTGGTTTTGGGTTGATTGTTGTGGGGGTTTTTTTGTTTGTTTTGTTTTGGTGGATAGGCAGTTTTAAATCTGGTCACATTCGTTATGTTTTGACATCTCTAGATGTGAGTGTCAGTCATCTCTTCCATCTTCTCATCATAGCGACCTTCCTCTAAAATGTGATTCATGATATTTCCCGCTCTCACTGAGATGTCACTGTAAAGCTGTTTGGTGACATGCTCAACACGTGAATGGTTGAGGCCTTGTAAGTACCTAAAACAATGACAGGCATTCTATTATGCCTAAGACAGACAAAATTCAGTTTGGTTATTCTAGATAGTAAGAGAACATAGCGATGAAAACCACCTGAGATACTACTGTTTTTATGAACAATAATGTACTTTGTCCTAAAATCCATTTTGCATGTTCTCCTAAGGACAAAAAAGCATGGCTGTGTTCATTACACTCTTCTTGTGTCCCAGCATTGTTTCTTGCTTTGACCTGTCATTTTCTGCTTCTGTCATACACAGTATTTAAAGCAATGCCAGCAAAGCATCTCCTCCCACATCCTTAAGATTCCTAAGCAGATTTTGTCCTAGGCGGAAACCTGTGCATGTGCTTTAACTTTAGAGGTCACCTTTATCTTAATTGTCTGTTTCATAAAGACAAGTTCTTGCAGTCTCCTTAAGTGGATAGAAACAACTATGCATGTGAGCTTCAGCAACGTAATGGAAGCCATCACAACGTATGTACACATAAATAAACACTTTGCACTCAGATCTTTTGTTTCTATCCTTATAGTCATCCTTTCTCTTTTTCATTCTGAATTTCACTGCAGTCAGTTCAGCAGAACTGCTGAGGAAAGAAATCAAGATTCTTATCAGCCTTATTTCAGGACTTGATCTCTTGATGTCTACTGTTATTTCTCATATTTACTTCTGAAGTGTAAAGGGTGACTTGACTTGGGCTTCTACAGAACAGAAAAATACTTTATGGAGAAAATATTTTGATGTTCTATACTGTTTTGTCTCAAGATCACAGAATCTTAAAATAATTCAGGTTTCAAGATATTTCAGGAGATCACACTCCACTATCCTTCCCAAAGCAGAGTCAGTTATTTGTCAAACCAGGTTGCCCAAGATTACATCCAGTCTGGTCTTGAGAACCTCCAAGTTTACTTCAAGTAAGGTCAAAATTTCCTTCATTGTGAATCCAAGAGATCAGCAATCACAGGGCAGAAATGGTACCTTACGTACTGTTGCAGCCTTGCCTTTTCTGAAATTATCACATGATGAAAGCCCTTACTCCAATACTGAGAGCAGGAAGAAAATGCCCTTTCCAGTAGTATTAAGCAATTGCTTCTATTTCCAATGACTTATGAAAGAAGAGGCTGTAATTCCTTGCTTAATCCAAGACTGGATATTTTTCCAACTGTGCACTGTAACAAGAACGAAGAAGGAAATGTTTGTCTGAGCTGTTTTTAATGACTGTTGTTAAAAATTGCACAGAGGGTTGGAATGTTGGAAGGAACCAGCTGAGATGTTTAAGTGAGCAAAGGGCAAAGGAGGTGTACAAAGGTATGTAATAAACAATATAACATATGGGTAATTAGTGTCCAAACATTTAGTACGTGTCCTTTACAGAGTTCTGCAGTGAGATAGAGTGCTAGCAAGGCTTTGGGCAACACCTTGCTGCTTAGATCCCCATGTATATAATTGTCTCTTCTGCAGGCAAAGGAATTAAGGATGCAGCTCAAGAGGTTGTGAGGCTGTGAATCAGTTGCCAAAACCAGGAATATAGCTACTTCTGACTTCCTGCCCTAAGTTCTCCTTTCTCCCAGCACTGCCACCCACAAAAGATTTTGTGAAGATTAATCTTTCAGTATTGCCCCTTCCCCTTTCTCCATTTTAATCTCATTGACAGGAGCTTCTTCTTCTTCCAAAGTAGCCTCAGTATCTCAGCAACCTGAGACTTTGAGGGCAGTTTTGCATTCACTCTTCACTTGTCAGTGACTTTCCTGGCCATGAAAAACAGCTCATCAGCATCTGTCTTCCCTCCCCACATCTCCCCTCATCTCTTCCTTCCCTTTTTTTCTTTCTCATATTTTACACAAGCCAGGAAGCAGCTTATACAATTTGGATCAATTTCTTTTTCCTTTTTCTATAACAGAAGCAAGTCAACTACACCAAAGAATCACTGAAAGTGTGTACCATGCACCAATGAATTCCTCCAATATAGCCAGGTAAGTCTTCTCAGTGCATAAATTCTTAGTGTTCTATGTCTAGCTTCTGGAGTATGAACTTATTAAATTGCCTCCATGTTGTATAAAGCCATGTAAATGCAGATAAAAGTTTTGCTCATGGGGAAACTCAGAATCTCAATGCAGAATTCATTTAAAAAATCATCATTTGAATTTTCCAAAGAACCATGTGCTCCCTGGAACATTTTCTGGATGTTAAATGGAGCTGTCAGCACATCTTTGTAATGCTGCAATTGCTGGCAAATTTGCTAAGTGAGTTGGCACGACACACCACTGTAAAGGTTTCTTTGTGTTTGCAGGACTAACTAAACCAAGATATCCCTGGTAAACATAGCCAGCCTTCGAGAGCTATGCAGCTCAATGCAAGAAAAATTAAATACATGTAGTGCTGCTAATCCTGCATTGTATTTTCTCTTGGATTGGTTATATTTCAGGTTTAAAGCCTAAGCTGAAGAGGTTTAAGGTGAAAATCTTTCAGCAAAACCACCTTGGAGACAGAAGGAGATAATTGTTCAAATAACTGCACCGACAAAAATATTTCAAATCAATTCTTCTCACAAAGCTTTTAAAGTGAGAATTTTCAAAGCAGAAATTATAGGCAAAATATGACAGGAGGAAATTAATCAACTCCAGGAAGAAGGAATATATATTTATCCTAGAAAGGATTAAATCAAAAGAAAAAATTAGTGCTTGTCCATGCTCTACTGATTACCATAGAGAAGAGAGCTTAGATGCCTCCACTCCTAATGCTGGGTTATTATAGGGGGCAAGAAAATATGGTATGTCTTCATGACAGAACAAGACACTGAGCTTTCATAAGTGGAACAAAGTACAGACTCTCAGTGGCTCTTGCAAACCAAGGCCACTTTGATCCTCTGTAATATGTCTCAGAGAGCAAGGACAGAGGAATTGCAGCATGAGACACCTCTGCAGTGACCAGTGAGAAACAGTGGATCAGAATTCCTCAGACTGCGGAGCCCTGCCTGCAGCCAGGTTTGGGATGCTGGGCAGCAGCAAGAAGTGAGAGGAGGAAGTTAGACTTTGTGACATGTGCACAGTCTGTTTATGAATGAGATGACTAAGCAGCCCCAGTTGTGAAAGATGCTGTTATTAAAGCCAGGAGTAGACAGTATTAGCCAAAGAGCAGCCAGCGTAATCAGTGCTCTGCCAGCAGCTGGAAGTTAATTACTGAGATATTTCTAACTGTTGCAATGCCCTCTCCTGGGTTGCCCTTCTGTAAAATGATTATTGCTTATTGGGAATTGCCAAACCTGTACTGTGACTCTGAGGAAATCTGTTTGCAGAAAACCTCCACCTCCCCAAGCCATATCCATTCACAGTTCCCTTTACTTGTTTGCAAGCCAACACAGTACTTTGGACTGCAATTCCATGAGCTAAGGACTGGAGCTGAGATGTCTGCAACATAAACACTCACAGTTGATGCATTTAATACAGGTGATGGTTGAATGTCCCCAAATCCTGTTCAATCTATGTAAATTCTCTCCCTGTAGGTTCTTCCCGAAAGTTTCATTGTTTAATCCTAAAATGAGATGTCCTGTGGTATCTGTTGCTGCTGATATCTCTCTGAAAGGGTGGTTGCTGCATTTCACTGATAATGAACCCTTTGCATTGTTTCCCAATCTACTGAAACATATGCAGTTTAAAGAGACCATTTTTTTAATTGTTTAATTGTCTACCTTTTTGGAAATGACTGATTCAGTCATACATCCATGTAAAAACATCCTGTGCACAAAGATATATACAGATACTTGTAATTCTACTGCAGATGCTGTTTCAGAGAAGTGTGTGTGTGATTCTTGGAATCTTTCTCACAGCTGAAAATCTTTAACTCTGTCAGCTGCGTGTTGCACAGTTATCTCAGCCTGGTTGGGAAGGGGCAGAGATAAAACAATAAAGAAATGTGAATGTGCTTTGGATTTGTTCCCATATTTATTTTGAGCCCCATCTACCATCAGGCTGTAAAACTGCATTTAGATCTAGTGCAGGAGGTAACAGAGACCTCCATTAAGGTTCTCTCAGAAACAGGTCAAGGATTCAAATATAAAGACGTCTCATGCTGCCTTGTACTTATTAGAAGTATTCTCAGATCTCTAGCAGTCCAAGTTTTTTTTAAGATTTTAATGATAATTTGGGCTTTCCCTTACAGCAAGACATGTATGTTAAGTATAAAAGTTCATATGTTAATTGTAAACAGCAATATAGTAGCTGACATGTGTTAATAATGAGCATTTCAGAAGAGTGTATCAAGTAGGTAGATATAACGAAATGGGTAGAAAAATCAATCTGCCAAAGATAATAGTCAAACACCCAAACTAAGCTGCCAGGCAGAATGAGGAGGGCAACAACTTCACAAAAACTTTGCAGCTTGAATGCTATATGGATCTGGGGCAGTGGGGGCATCCCCATTACAAATGGCAACGTGTGTACCTGTGCACATCTGACAAGATGGATCCTCTGTCTGTGATTCAGTTGTACAAATATGTGTTCCACTTGGATTCATGGAAGCAGAAGGAACAGAAGCTGGGGGTCCAGGAGCCAGTGGAATCCATATGCTCGTCTACATGTGCTATGACCTCTGTGTGACCATTCAGCACTCACTTTTCCTGGAATCAAGTACAGTCATGCTTTAAAGAATGGAGAACTGAGATCCAATCCTCTTTTGTAATCCAGTTTCTCACCTCTTTCTTCCAAATCTGTTGTGCTTTCAAAAAGAGGAAAGATGCAGAATGGCTTTTTCCACCATACTTGTGTGGCACAGATGCAGACTATTATAGCACACCTGATTGTAAGACCTGCCTTTTTCTCCTTAACTTTAGGCTTCTGCAGTTGATGGTAACAAAGAATGCTTAGTGCTGGTATCCCACTCACGGCTCAGTTCTCCATTAGCTCTTAAACAGGAGTATAACTATTTTTGTATTTCTTTTGTCCAAAGGTATAGCAGAAAGTCATCAAGCATATATGAAAACAAATCCGAGACATCAAACGTGGAAGCATCTAACAATAAAAACAGGAATTCCAGTCCCAGTGCCAGACAAAAGAGAGGTAGGACTTTTGAGACAGAGCTTTTTGATTCCAAAGGGTAATAGTTATTGTTTTGTTTTGTTCTGCAAAATCATTTCTAGAGCTTATCAGAATAGTGAGAATGTGTATTTTCTAAGTTTAACATCAAAAAACAATGCTACAAGCCTGTGTGACTGCACTGTGAAACTTCCTGAATACCAAGGAGCATTGCCAGTTTAGGAATTTTCAAGTTCAAGTTCTGGTGCATTACAATGCTCTTTATGTAACTTCTGCTTTTAAGAATAGAATTTTGGAGGTACAGTATGCCTCTATATCCTGGATAACTTAGTTTCTAACCATATTTAATGTCAAGGTTGCCTATGAATTTTGCTAACAAATGTCCTTGCTTTGTGTCCCAGGTTTCTTTTTACCTTCTCTATGTATATGCTCCCTGACAGCTCATAGTAAATAAATGCACGTGTGGTCACAGAAAGTCCCTCCATTATTTAAGTGCATAAAGACAACTGATAAATTCTATACAGCTAGGTTAAAATGAACTCTAAAAGGAAAGTGGAACTCATCTGGTGGTAGCAGGAACAGAAAATACTTCATCCACAGTTTCTCTGTCAGGTACTATTTCAAACAAAGACTTTTCTAATAATAGAAAAAGAACCAAAATCATAAGAAGATTAAAAACTCTTAATATAGTCAAACATATTGAGTAGCTTTTGATTAAAAAAGTGGGTGATTCATTAACATTTTTTCATCATAATAAGTTTTCATTATTGGGAGGAAGTCATGGATTCTTCAAGAAAAAATGGAATTTATTAATTAAAAGCATGTTTATGTAATAATAGATATCGTTTAAATGTGAAATATTTTAAAATGAAAAAAAAACAAAAACAGAAACAAAAAAACCTTGAAAAGCAATATTTCATTTTAAATTTGTAAACTCTATTTTAAAAAATATCCAGGAAAACAGTTGGTGATTTTTAACTGGTCCGACTTCCATGTCAGTGTGGGTGGTGGGATCACAATTTGCTGATTTTCCTTCTTCTGTCTTCTGCTTTCCCATGACCAGTTTCTCTGGGCTCTCACTGTAATTCCTCTGCTACTCACTGCTAGCTCAGCTGAGAGCCACCTCATGCTCTGGTATGTGGCTGCTCCCTCGGGGCTAAGCAGTGACTCATTTCTCTCTGTGGGATTCAGGGTGTGTGAGCGCATCCTGCTCTGCTGTGCACAGAACCAATGGAAGAGCTATCGAGTTTCTGTGTCCCACTTTTATCGGCAGTTTTAATCTGTGTCCTTGTGAAGCATTACAGCCTCTAGCTGGGACTCTGCAGGGCTGAATTCAGTCCCTTTAAGGGTGCACAGTTGGGTCCTAATTTTGAAGGCGCACAGGAATCACGCTGTGACTCTGAGGTTGTGCTCGTTTACAGTGTAAGCACAGCATGGATTCTGGTGCTCTGTTAAAATTGTCTCTTTTGTGCCACCTACTGACTGTATTACTGCCAACATCTTTGCAGTTAGCATGAAAGCAGATTATTTCCAAATACTGTTTTCTTTCTGTAGTACAGAGTGTGTGGAGTGGGTGGGGGAGGGGGCAACTGTTGGCAAGGTATATCAGCTTTATCACTGTTATTGGTAAGTGCATGTGATTATGTGTTGTCCACATATAACACAGTTTTTTGTGTGTGTGTGGACCTGATTGGTAAATTCACTGACTTGAAGTTACATGGAAGCCAAGCAACTTCTGTAACCACTGGAGTACAGCTGGTCCCACCAACCTGCTCACAGCAAGGTCAGCTGGAGCAAGTTGCTCTGCACTGTGTTCAGTAGGTGCTGCATGTGTTCAAGGACGGAGACTCCACAGCTTCCCAGTGCACACAGTCTCAGTCTTTACTCTTCCCAGTGAAAAAGATTTTTTCATGTTTTTAAGTGAAATTTCCTGTATTTCAGTTGATGCGGATTGTCTCTCATTCTGTCGCTGGGCTCCACCAAGAAACATTTGGTTCCATCTTTACCCACTCTCACAAGGAATTTGTATATATTGATGAGACCCCTCTCAGCCTTTTCTGTACAGTCTGAACAGTTCCATCTCTCGCTCTCTCTTCATAATTCAGCAACTGCAATCCCTTACTCATACCCATTGCTCCCCACTGGATACACTCACATACACTGATGTCCCTCTAGTTCTGGAAGCCCAACACAGGACCTATGGGTCTCACCAGTGCTGAGTGGGGTGAAGCATCGCCTCCTTGGACCTGCTGACAAGGCTTTTCCTCATGCAGCCCTGGATGCTCTTGGCCCTCACTGCCACAAGTGTGCACTGCTGGCTCATGATCAACCTGTTGCACACCTAGATTTAGATCTTATTATGTCTGGAAATGGGATTCAGAATTATTTCTTATACCTGCAGAATGAAGGAAAAGGTTTGAAAGAACTCTGGTACAGACATTATGTCACTAGAGACCAGTCTGTAGTGATTGGTACATGCTGTGCAGTTGAGGGGACTTGTGAACTACTAAAATGTCCCTCTGTGAAGTGATGCAATTCGATGGCTGAAGAACAAGCAGAATGAGCATAAAAGCATTCCCCCTGCACACATGCACTGCTGTACTTTCCTTGTGGTACCACTGTTACTGAGTAGTATGGATTTGCTTGCTCTTCACAAATGGCAAGGAAATATACTTCATATACAAGTTTCTTGTTTCTTCATAAGCTAATCCAGTGTGATCCAAAATTCAGCCTGCAGGATAGGCCTTGTCCCAGGCTCACAGTATCTTTACAGGCATTGCTTAGCAGTGGGAGCAGACACAGCAAGGAGTGAAGGCCAGAACAGGTGGTCTGAAAGCCATATGCATCCCAGTGCACCAGTGTGCAGCTCCACAGCTGACACTGTCCTTGTAGTCTTTCCTTACCTGCCAGGCACAAGACTGGCATCAGGCCCCAGGATGGAAGGAGCTGACCATGCTGACATAACACTGTGCTGTTAAAACCTGTTCATTTCACACCTGCCTATGCATGCAGGCACCATGGATCCTGGGTTATCTTGGCTGCAAATCAGGAAGTGATGGGATGCACTTTCCTTTGGAAGCTGAGCTTGTATGTCTGGTGTTTGTCAGTCTGGATTCACTGTCTCTCCATGCTTCCTTTGTATTCCTGGTCTTCATTTGTGCCCCTAATGATTATGACTTGACAGTGTATGTAATAAAAGGGAGAAGAAAGTTAGTGGTTAAATCCCAAGGCAGGGAACCAAGCAGCTAGCACGTGTTTTTTTTCCTGATCATTTGCCTTAATCCTTCTTTGTGTTACCTGTCCACACAAAGATAGGAATAATTTGACATGAGTGCATGGGTCAGGGAATTGGATTCTAGTCCACCTCTTTCCTGCAGTGTGATTAACTGAATATCTTTGAAATTCAGAGTCTTAAGACTTTGATCCACCTATGACTTATCTTTATAAACGCAATCATCAGGTGGCATGGTGGGCTTATCCACATAGGAGACTGACATGTATGCTTTGATGGCATAGCCATACTTATGTCCCAGCAAGTCCCAGGTGAAGTGCATTACTAGGTGCCAGCTTTGGCAGCTTTAGAAAGACTTCAGCAGGTAAGGCTGAGAGCACACCAGCCACAGGGCTGATCGTGGCAAACTGCTGAGCTGTGCTGGACAGCAGAAGTGTTTCTGCTCACAATGCTTGCTGTGTGCATCCTGCACTGTAAGGCTCCTCTTATTTCTCCCTACAGCCTTGCTATTCCAACCACAGTAATGTGTTTTCATAGCGAAAAGCACTAGATCCCTTTCAATGAGCTTGCTGCTAAACTGTATTTTCCTTTGATGAGAGCTACATCCCTTCACCTGTTTTTCTTGTGTTGTTTTTTTGTTTGTCTTTGCTTGTTCGTTTATTTTTCTCCATTGAAATTCAGTGAGCCAAACTCAGCCCAGTGGCTCTGTTAGCTCAGCTGATTTAATCACTAACTTCATATCACCTTTCTAATTGATTAGCTCTTGCTCAGGCTTGAACTGAATCAAAACCAATTCTTTATTTTTCGTTGTCATCCAGTGCTAACCTTTCCTTTCCCATAAGCTGAATGGCTGACCCTTCCTTCCTTATTTCTCTTCCCTCTCCCTCTCTCTCCTAGTTGATGCTTCCACCAGCCTTAACCTTGAGCGCACAGCGCTTGCTAGAAAGCGATTCACATTGCAAGGTCTTTCCAACCGCAGAGCTCCACCCAAAGGTAAAATCACCACATGCAGCATTTGGTCTCTGGCCATCTGTCTCCTGCACAGTGCTTTCTCCATCCCATAGTGTCATCCATCACTATTTCCTAAAATGCTGCCACATCCCACAAAAATGCACCTGTCTGATACACACACATGGCTTCTCTTCTCAAATATCCTGTTACCAGAAATGGCTCCCATGACAGTGTGGGCAAGGCAACCTTGGGGTTCAGTGGTTGGATCTTTTCATAGTGCATAGTGCAAATAACGTTTGTTTTTCTCAGTGGCTACCAACCTGACTTCTTTCAGCAGTTTACTGGCTTGAAGGGAAGAATATCATCTCTGTGTTGCAGTGCACTAAGCTTTCATATGTTAAAATGTTCATTGGTTGAATCTCTTTGGTTTTTCAAATGTTGCTTAGCCATGACATGGTGGTTAGACTGGGGAATTGGGATTCAGAAGATCTGGAGTTTATTGCCTTTTCATTATGTTCATTTATATAATTGCATTCTATGATGCTGTAAAATGATGGGTTGTGAGTCTGTGCATAAGCATTTAGAAGACACTTAGTATCCGTGTGTAGAGCACTGCATCTTGTGATGGCTATACTAAGAGGTTTTAGAGGAAATAAAGAAATGTAAATAGAAATGAAACTAGATGACTATACTCACAATTACTACTTGAAAATGTAACGTAATTACTTTTTTAATTGTTATGATATTGCTTTTCTCTTGTTCTGATAAATGATTTTCTTCTGTGAGACAAAGATCTAGTATGCAATGATGGAGAAGGTGAGCAGCAAAGGAGGAAAAAGTGAGATGGAAGAATAAAAAGATGAAAGAATAGAAATACAGAAGTATTATTAAGTGGATGAGAATGACTTTCTGAAAACAAAAAAGTGGGTGGTTTTCAGACCTGTGCCCGGGGGAAATCATTGACAAGATTCTGATGTGATGAATGTAGAACAATGCTGCAGTTTTGGTTTAGGTCTCTTTCTCCTTTTTATCTGAAGTTGCCTTGTCATACGAGATGTCTTGTGTTTTGTTCAGTCATTCCATGTTCCAGAGAGCAAGGTATACCTTAGAAGATTATGTACACCTCAGCCGTAGGCAGTTTTGGCTCAAAGACTTGTTGGATCTGGTTACTTGAGAATGCTTGTTCCACTGCACAATGTCCAATGTTTGCTGATTTCACTTTGTTGTGCTGTTCAGTTACTAATCTGGTCCTGGCCTAGAGACAGAAGACAGCCTGGTTAATTCATAGACCGTGGTCATTTCTGTAGGCAGTGATAACGCAGAACTGTGTTACTGGCTGTTACAGCAGAGCTGTGAGAAGGGAACAGTGAGTGTGTTATTTACTAGGCAGGGCTGCAGGAACAATGCAGGAACAAAAGCTGTGTGACTGAGCACTAAAACAGGCAAATTTAAAGATGATGAGTGGGAAAGAGAATTTTAAGATTCCTGAAAAACAAATCCTCACAGTAATATAGTTTTGCAGAGGATACTTAAACCTGAAGTTTAAAATCACGTAAAATTTATTTTCCTCCAGTGCTGTTTGACAGTTAACCATGAAAACAATGAGAGAGAGGGAGAAAAGAAGGTACATTAAGAGAAGTGAGGCAACTGGAATAGAAAAATCTCTGAATGACAGTCACTGGCTGGGAGCACTTGGCTTAGGATTCAGCAAAGCGTATAACCATGTTCTATAAAGAACACTGTTTGATACAACTCTTCATCTATCCCAGGCAAATCTTCAATGATAAAAGAATCATTTAATTTTTTACCAAAGTTTTTTTTTTATATTAAAAAAAAAAAATCAAAACATGAAAATCACATGTCAAATAATTTTTGACAACTCTGTAAAGCTTCAACTGAGTTAAAGCCTTTTCTAATGCCATTTTCAGCTGAACTTGTGTCCTGGTTAGTTAAGTGTTCAACTATCTTACTGAAATCAAGATGTAAAGGATATGATAGCTTTATTCATGTCTCAGTGAAAATTGTCACTTGAGTAATGCAGCACATGGCCAACAAAAAAAACTAAATTGTTAATCCTGAAACTTTTGTAAGCATGCAACTTTTTCTCCCAAGTGGTGCTGCAAGTTGCTACATGCAAGAAGCATATTGCTGTACATGCAACCTCCTAAGAGCTCCTTAATGACTTCAGTGCATCTCGTAGCATCGTGCACTCTGAGGCTAGCAGTTAGTCCATTTACACCTTTGATCTGTTTATTAACTATTTTGAGTCAAAAACGCTACTCACATCCCACAGTGAAATCTTGGAAAGATGTGTCTTTATTCCTGAATGGAATTTGGGAAAAGGCATTATTTGGAATATACAAACAAACAAACTCTGGTGCCTTTATTTTTCCAGACTGATTTGCTCTAGTAAAGACCATTCACACTTCTAACTTCCGGAAATTATGAATCATTGAATCATAGAATCATCAAGGTTGGAAAAGACCTGCAAGATCTTCCAGTCCAACCGTCCACCTATCACCAGTAGTTCTCACTAAAATATGTCCCTCAGCACAGCGTCTAAACATTCCTTGAACACTCCAGGGTCAGTGACTCCACCTGGGCAGCCCATTCCAGCACCTGACCACTCCTTCAGAGAAGCAGAATGTCCTAACATCCAGCCTCAATCTCCCCTGCTGCAACTTGAGGCCATTCCCTCTTGTCCTGTCACTAGTTACATGAGAAAAGAGGCTCACTGCAACCTCCCTTCAGTTAGTTATATAGAGCAAAAAGGTCTCCTCTGAGCCTCCTCTTTTCCAGACTGAAGAATTCCACTTCCATCAGCTGCTCCTCATAGGGCCTGTGCTCCATAATGTGATCTCTAAACCATTTGTGTTTGTTTTTCAGTGTATTTCAGGTCAGTCATCACAGAACAAGCAGTTCAGTGTCTCTAAATAGTCCCAACTTCATCTGTAGACACATGCACCATTCTAACTATCATGCACATCATTCTGTGTTTTGTACCTATACTTAGACTAGCTAAAATATTAGTTGGCATAAGTCTCCTTTCTGCAGTGTTAAGATTTGGTGCAATTGGAATTGCTTTGAAAATATATTTCTGTAAATTATTTTCTATGCTTTTCACTTTGTAGAGAGCGTCCTTCCTGGCTGTTCTAGGGAGCAAGCTACCTTCTATTTACCCTTTCCCAGCTGCTGCTTTGCTTTGCACATCTTTTACCCACAGTGCTTATTAACCGTATTAATCCTGCCCTGCATTGCATCTGTCTATTCTCCCAGATCCAGAATCTAAGGAAAGAGAAGTTGCCCGTCGCTTTTCCCTAGCCTCCTCCATCAGCACCACAGTAAATGCATCTGCTGTGACCAAAGGTACCGTCATGCTGCTTGCTTAGCTACCCTTCTCCCTTCCTGCTGACTAACAAATTTACTGCCAAATGCTGTTCTCAGAGTGATTTCATCAAGCTCAGTTTTTACAAACGCATGAGGTTTCAGCAGAAGAGTTAGAACAAGTTCAACACCTGCAGGAATGCAGGCCAAGGTAGTTGAATGTGTATCAAGGTTTCTCAGCTTCAAAAACTGATGCTAGTTTTCATGGAAGCCAAATTAATTCTTGGCTGTTGTAGGGTTTGTTTTCCAGCTTCTCCCTGGATTTGGGTTAACTGAAATGCAACAGAATTTTCTTTCCTTGAAACTGCTTAGGGTTGTTGCTTTCAATAGGAAAGACAGGATCTCCTCTTTGAGCAGCAGTCAGATACGCAAGCTTGAAATTAAGACAAAAATTGAGTAGCAATCAGTGCCAATTTAAAACATATTTAGCATAATTGCAGTTATCATTAGAAATAATGCTTGCAAGGAACATTTCAGAAGTGCATAAGCAAGGTAGATGCCCAGAATGCACTGACCACCATGCAGTTCCTGTGGGGACTTAAGAAAATTTTATTTTTGAGCTGTAATTCTACTGAGAAAAAGCACATTTACCAAATTTACTTTGGTAGTTTACTCATTGCACTAGTGCCTATATTTAATCTCAGGAGCAACCCATACATCTGGGCAAGCTTTTTGTGCTGAAAATCAGCAGGGCTTTAGGCACTTATACCCACATGTTGGAACTGCTTTTGAAAACAGAACATATGGTCAAATTCTGGTTATGTTGGGGTTTAATACTGTCTGGAATGAAATGAAGGAACTGATTTGCAAGTTTCAGATTTTCAGGGCGTTTCACAAGCCAAAATAGAAGGAAAGATGGCTGAACTCATTTGTGTAAAAGTCTTCACTATTTATTTGTCAGGAGGTGGCACTGTGCCTGATGTAGAGCCTTCCAAATATTTGTGAAGGATCTGAACCTTATCCTTAACTGTAGAATGAAGTGACAGGTATCTGAAATAATCTGCTTTCAGAGTGTCACCATGGAGTGTATAATCAGAGGAAGGATGTAATGTCACCTCTACATACAAGTATTTCTTTGCCAACTTCTTTAGGTGATAATACTTCAGCATTTCCATATGGAAATTACAGGCATGGCTCAGGAGAAGAGGTTAATGAAATTCAGACTTGTATGGTTCTGTCCACCATGAGACTGTTGGAATTTTCTTGGAATGCTGAGAAAACTACTTTTGTACTGATTTCAAAAGCTAGAAAACAAAATCAGTGCTCTCCAATTAAGTTTTTTATTTACAACATCTGCTTTAAGTAAATATTTTAGGTGTTGAAGGAACTGGAGCTGGAGTCTTGTCTAATCATTAGCCAAATGCAAGTCTAAATAGGGTATTTGGGTTGACTTATTCAAGGCTACTGCACACTGTTGTGTGCTGATCCTCACTGCAATGGCTCAGCTCTGTCACATCACAAGTCCTCTGCATATGCAGCTAGGACACAGGAGAAGCACTGCATGTGGAGCTGAGAAGAATGTCTTTCTGTTCTGTGGAACAGAAGTGCTGGCTTTTGTCAGCTCTTCCCTGCCATCCTCGTGCGTAGGAAGCTGACTGTGAAGCTGCCTGCATTAGTGCCATCTCCTGGACATGTGGGAGAGAAACCATCCGTGAATCTGGGAGCAGACACATCTATGACATCTTTTGCAAAAATAGGTCTGTTTCCTATTCACATCACAGAAGTATTTGTCTTCATCACTTAGAACTTAAGGGACAGTCATTTTTCTGGGTGATGTGGAAAGTATTACGCAGGTCGTGGTTCCAGGTAATGGGAAAGCAAGTTTCTATTTTGACAATATTTACAGCCTTGTGACTCTGCAAACTTCACACAGGTCCCCTTGTTCCTGCAGTTAAAGTCAAGAGACATGAAATAAAGAGTGACCCAACTCCCCTGGGGTTTGAAGGTATGAGTATTTCCATCCTGCATGAAAACCTGTTCAGCAGTTTTTTTATATCATTCACTGAATTCACATCTCATCACTGTCAGTGGATGACACTGGAGGCAATCGGGGTTTGGTGTCAGTTTATCTGTTGAACTGTGATAAATCAAATTTTTCATCTTTTTTCTTGTCTCCTGCACTAATGTCTGTTTATCAACTTTTACCTAGGGTTGGACTTAAATTAAAACCCTGATTCTCTGCCTGTTTTGGTAAATAGACCATGATCTGGATCTAGATTTTCTGCCTGTCTTCTACCTCACCTCATGGAAGGGAGGAGAGCTCAGGCAGCAGCAGGGAGCCAAGGCATTACTCTTCACCTTCACATGCAGTCTGGCCACTTGCATTCCTCTTCCCTTGTTAGGGTTTACACCTAATAAGAGGAGCAGGAGCCACATGCATGAAGGTCACAAAGAGGCTAGGCTGCATTGATAACCATTTAAGGTGCAGTGTTTCATTTCAGTCAAGCAGAATCTCTACCTATTTTGTTGCAGCAGGTTCATCAATTACTGTTTTATAAGCAATACCAAAACATTAAACTGGGAAGTGATTTCACAACCACTGAAAGATCACCAGCTTCCATTGCCAGTGTTTCCCTTTACACAAGGATTTGCCAGAGTGCATTGCAATGTGAGGCACAAGCAGTCAGGTACCCCTGTTGCAAAAGAGGGAGAAGAGAGATGTAAGCTGAGGAATCCTTATGATTGTGTTGCTCTGTACAAAACCCTGCCAAGTAGCCAGGTCAGTTATGAGATTGGCAACATATCAAAACTATCTCCTATGTTTATAGCTCTCTAACAGACATAAGATCCTCATTATAGACATAGATACTTCTCATCTCAGCATACCATGGGGCTGCAGAGGCTGGAGGTATTTCAGGGTGCAACTTCAGAGCTGAATTGACCTTCCTTGGGTAAAGAACACGGTCCTACTGTACAACATCCCTTGCCAAACTGAATTGATTTAAGTGGGAGACAATGAACATTGTTGTCCCTTCATCAGAAGAAATCGCTGCTGTTGCTAGAACTCTGACAGAGTTAATGATGTTAAAGGTATTATTTACTTGGATAAAACCTTCCCCCACAAAGCTGCATTAATCAAGAGTGATACTCATTTCTCACTGAGAAGAACCTCCCTGGTCTGTTTTTATTGCGTGGATGGGTGTCAAAACCATACACCATCATCTACAGAATGATTAGAAAACCTGCAAGCAAAGTATGTTAAAAATGAGGAAGCTGTAGTGAAATAGAGCACTGCACTGTTCACCTAGCAACTGTTTTCATTAATTAACATCACTATTTGATTCATTTGGCTGCGCTCTGTCATTCTCAGACCTGACGGTTTTCCTGTGAGATACTGCTGTGTTTTCACTCATTTGTGCTCATTAAATGACTCTTTATAACTGTTGGATCCCATCCACCTGTTTGTGTAAGAGACAACCAGTTGCAGCTGTGATACAGACACACTTTGTACTGGTTGCCTGGTCATTATTTCACTTTTAAGTCAAAAAACTGTACTTCCTGCCACAGATGCTTTTGAGAACACCATATTGGCCCAGACTAAATGTAGCACTGGTTCTACCACAAGACCTGTACCTAGATCTGCTTCACAGACAGGTAAACATCATTAAAACATTTATCATCATCCCAGCTTGAGAGTGTAATATCACTTTAGGACAATAATTATTCTCTTTAACTAAAAGGAATTTCTCTCTTACGGTGAGTATAATTTCTCTTGAAAGCAGTGAAAGAACGAGCTTGGATCACTAGCAGTTACAGAAACGTCCCAGAATCAGGTTTCCTGTTGCTCAGGCAAAGTTGACAATAATTATTGGAATTTATATCATAATGCTCAGAATTTGATCTGTGTTATTTTATAGCTTGAATGAAGTACGTCAAAGTTACGTAGGCTATTCCTTGGTCTCTGAAATGTGATTAGCAATTTTAATAGAAAAGTGATGCAGGTACTTGTAGGGAATCCTTGCTGCTGATGTTTCTGCCTCAGATGCTTCCTGTGAATGACAATGTCAAAAGATCACTGAAACTTTATCTCAGTGAGAAGAGGGATTACTTTTTTGTTTTGCTGTTTGTAGCCCAACCTTGAGCTCAAACTAAAATTGCTATAGCAGTTTAAAGCTAATTAGCTACAACACATTCTTGCACATTCATACAGTTTGTTGTATTTTGCTGATATGATTCTACTGATTTGGGGTCCAGTTGTAAATTCTGCATGGTCTGTAACTGAAACTGTCTCTTTCATCACAACTCAGGACATGAGTGCCACATGAGAGGCTAGTTTACAGCTTGAAAAGCATCACCTGGATGACACCACCACACCTGTAGGGTTAAAACTGTGGATGTTGGTTGGGTGGAAAAAGTTGCTGTCACCCTTATAACAGAACTGCAGTGGTCAGTGCAGCTGCAGTCCCTAGGAACAGGAGGAAAGAGAAAAGGCTGTGGAGCTGCATGGCCACATGTTGCACAGGCAATGTCTGTAGCAGAGAGGATGTGCATGGAGAGGAATTAAATTATTACCTTTTTTTTTTAATTCTTAGGTAAACAATAAATAATTTATTTTTAAGTAAATGTCTCTTAAATGTAAATAATTATTAATAAGCTACCTCCAAAGGCCTGGTTGTCTTTGAACCTTGTTTTTATTCTGTCCTTTCCCTGCATTTCCAGTCTGCTCCAGAGCGTAGTCTTGTAGGTTGCTCAGGTGGTGACATTACCTTGAGGTGTGTTGGAAATAAGAAGTCAACCAAAATTCAGTGGCTTTGAACATCAGTTTGTACATAAACATGTGGAGATGAGCTAAAAGCTGAATGAGCATAGCTTTGTGAAAATTGTATTGGCAAAGTCATGATTTGCTACAGCACTTGCTCTGCAAAAATATTCCTGACCCTTGTTTTTTGTACCACATGAACTGAAGAGATTTAGAGATGCTGAACAGACAAGGTATTGATGCACATACACAAACACAGTCTGCCCTCCTACAAATGAAAGCAAGCAGAAAGAGAATAATACTGCAAAAAGTGTTTTATAACAAAATCAGGGAACAAGCTGTAAAATGGTGTGAGCAATTCACTAAATGAAATAGCGGGAAGCGAACCTGCGACATTTATTTTTTGTAAGACTGAGTCTGAAAGATGGTAGTGGCCAATAGCTAACTCTTTTTGTGTTCTCTTTTTCAAAGGTTGGCCCAGTAGGCAAATGCCATCTCTAGACACGTTTGAAGATTTCGAAGCCATTCCTTCCAGCATGGATGAACTCTCCAACTCTTCAGACATGGAGGAAGAAACCAATCCTAACAATGTAATTCCTTTTTCAAAATGCCCTTTCCCAGTGCTGCTTTCTCCTCTCTAAAAATTGGGATTCATCCTGCAAAGATTTGGCTCATATCTGTCTTAAATCCATGGGAAGACAGGAGATGTGAGTTTGATCTAGAGCGCTAGGGGATTATCTCAAGACTATTTATTGATCGGTATCAGGACCATTAACAGCCACCCTTACTTATAAGATGTAGCTTTATCTTTATAGCTGTTAGAAAAGTGAGAGAAAACACTAAAAAACACTGAGCCTTTTAAAAGTACAGTTTCAGACTTTTTCAGGTAATATGAGTTGATGCGATGAACCCAGTTTCTATATCAAAATAATGTCTTGTTGATTAATTCTAAAGCCTAAATGCTCATCACAGTTCTGAGTTTCAACAATGGTTATCCTGAGCATGATAAGAATAATAAAAAGAGTCACAATTACATGGAGGAGAAATCTCTGTCATCTTGAAATGCCTGATTCGGTATTTAACCAAACCCTCTTGCAGTGTTCTTTTCTCCATAATGACTGTATTTCTGATTTCATTCATTTTAGGTGACCAATCTTTTTCGAGTAGAAGGCAGTTTTGACAGCTGTTTCCCAGATTCTCTTACACTTGAAGATGGAGATCTTGTGCAGTTTGTGCAGGAAGGAGAAAATGGGCAATGGTGAGTACAACAGGGAGATGTAATTTAGCAGGTAGAACATGTACAACCTCCTGGAAAAGACAGAAACATTCAGAAGAACATCAAAGCATCTTCAAGATCTATTTGAATGCACTCAAGCCATTGACCACAATGTGCAAGAATCAGTGGGGAGCAGGAACATGGATGCAGCTTTGTTTAATTCTTCCTAGTTAGCTTTCCTCCTAAGTGTTTATGACATAATGTTTGAGAGGACAGGAGTTTGCATGAAGGAAAACAGAAGGATTTTGACCCCTAGCCCAGAAGGACGGCTGTCAAAGATAGCACCCTTCCTAGGATACATCAGTAAGATCTCTATGCCTTTCACCAAGCTCCAGCAGTGAACCAGAGTGTGCATTTTAGACACAAAGATTTAGATATAAGATTACACTCAGAGATGATTGATAAAGTAGAATTCATCTGGCCACCTTGAGCCTACATACTTTTTATAAAATTCATATTTGAAAGTTATTATCCTCTCTGTTTGATAAGTAAGTGTTTGGCGCAGACCTGTCAGGGTGCCTAAATTCACTTTCCATGAGAAATTTGGAGGAAGAAGATCTGATCTCCTTGAAGTGATGTTGCAGTCAGACCCCCAACTCACAAATGGCCTGCAGCTGGGAAATAGCTGTCCAACATACCTTTCTAAGAAATACAGCTCAGGAAAGAGAATGTAGGAAAATGCAATGACTGTTCTCTGAATTTCAGGTTAGTGAAGAAATTGGTCTCGGAGAAAAGTGAGTGGGTTCCTTCCAGTATATTGCAGCCAGCAGAGGGGGACACTAACAACATAATTAAGAACAGCAATGCAGGTAAGAGAGTAAATGTTTAACTAGTGTTTAAAAACTGTGTTGTTGTTTTGGGGTGAGTTTTTTTTTGTTGTTGGCTCAAAAATGATGTGATAAACAGTGGACTTTCTGTATTAAGTGCTTGGTCTGAGGGCAGGCTCTGGTGACAACACTGAGCTGGCTTGAAATTTGGTGCCTTAACACCGTTAGTGTCTGGATTTAGATCAGCATCAGGGCTGTTGTTCTGGTACAAGTTTGAAAATGTTAGACTCTCACAAACCATTCATTCTTTTGTGGTATTTCACTGCTGCCTCCAAATACTGGAGGAAAGGCTGCTCTGGTGAGATCTCACCCAAACCAGCACTAAAAGTCACTCTTTCTTCAGCTTTGGCTCTGATCTATAATAAACAAGTTGCACTGGAAAAGCTGAATATCAGCAATTCTGCAGATCAAAGATTTAAAATTTTAGATAAACTACTGCCCATTCATAAACATAATGTACCAAAACTTGCTCTAGTTTTCTGCTGGTAACAGAACAAAGCAAAATCTGGCACAGCCATTCCCTGGCGACTTGTGAGAGAGAGCTACCAGCATTTTACTCCAAAGTGCTGGTTTCCTTTTTGTTCTGGTTGTTCGGTTGGTTGGGGTTTTTTTTGGTCAGTTTGTTAAAATGGATAAAACTTTATTTTATTTTCTTTTTTAGTTTCTGTGGTTTAAAGGGAGTCAGTGTTCCTCCACTTCAACAGTGGATCAGTTCTGTCTGCAGCCTCAGTGCCTTAACTGTGGCTCTGATTTCTTTCACACATCTGACACTTTACAACAAACCCAAGCCCAAACAAATGACAGTTATTAACTTGCCAAAGGAGCCTTCTTTGCCTTCAGTGGAGGAAAGAGGAGAACAGTAGATGTGATTCTTTTACTTTATTTATTTATGTATTTATTTTATTTCAGGCTTTTAACAATCAGTCCCAAGACTGTAGATGGGAATTCCTTTAGATGTTTTGTAGTGACCGTGCCCATGTCCTCCTTTTCAGACACATACAATGATTCCTGCAGCACGGCTTCGGTTGAGTCGGACACCAAGGAGTGTGAGGTGGCTAAAAGCTTCCCAGCAGAACAGAGGGCTGGAAGCTGAATGGCAGGACAAGCCTTCCTCAGGACCCTCTCCATCTCCTTGTTTATTTTGGGTTGACACTGGATCAAAGTTGCCTTTCTCACAAGCTCTGAGCTTCATAATTCTCTGAAACTTCATTAACATGGACAGATGAGAGGAAAAACAAACTTGAGGAACATCAAACATCCAGACAACATCAAGAACCATCTTCAGTATTAGAGGAGAAAAATGCTTCTTGCATTGTTTATGAAACTGTTTCAGAAGATGTGGCCTAAATTAGGTCGACAGCAGAGCTGAAGAGTTACTATGCACGCACCTTTTGGCAACTTTCCTTGAACACCGAGTTACTGCAGAGGGACACATACATGGTTTTGAGTTCTTGCTCTACCATGGGTCACTTGGAGGTTTTTCCATTTGCTTGCCTCAGTAGCTGTGCCTTCCCCACCCTCCTTAACTACAGCTAATAGATCACAAATGTGCCCTTTTTGCTGATGGTCATCACCAAAACTGTCACACTTTAGATTGGATGTAGAAAGAAAACTTCTGACTTGGACTATCAGAGAGGCTTCATGCAGGAATGGCACAGTGAACAAGCTGCTGCATTCAGCATTAGTTTGAGATAATGCAGATGGCAACGTGATATAAGGTGGAGATGCAGTTCTTATCCAAGAGGCAAAGAACAAAAGGCATTGTGACAGCTACTGTGACACAGAACAAATCTAAGTCTTTTCACAACATAAGTCATTCCTCTGCGCCCTCTGCAGTCTGTGGTTGCTGGTTCACAATCCTTTGCGTTTGGTGCCGAGAATTCAAATGAATACCATTTAATGTCATATGTTTGAGTAGACTGCATGCTTTCTTTTTGTGCTGGGCTATGGAGTAGGTACATTTCATTCCCCATATGAAATATATCTAAGCATCACAAATAGACAGTGAGCATTAGGTGCTCCAATGAGTGGGTAAAGTGTTGGTGTTAAATACTTATTTCCAGGACGTTTGTTTATAGGGTTCTACCAAATCTCTGCCACATAGGGATGTAATGTACTATATGAAGTGATTACAGATTTTATTATTCCTTTACAAGCCATTAGCTCATTTAGAGCATCTGTTAAAGCATGAAAGCATTTTGATGGCAATTGGATCTTAGGTCCCACAAAAGCTGCTAGTATTTTAGTTAAGATTAGAATTGACAAAGGGTTGCAAGCCAGTAAAGATCAGACAGGAATAAATGACCCTAGGAGCTCAAGAATTGGCTTTTACTGTTAGAGATTTTCTGTTTAACCCTAAGAGTAGTGATGCTCTATGTAAATAATGAAGGGGACAAAAACACTGAAAATGGAGATGAAGCAAAACCAAAAATCACTCCTTGGCAAAATAGTAAGAGTCTGCAACATTTCTGTTATCCTCTTTGCAGGAACCTGAACATTTTTCTTTGTGTTTCAGTGAAGGCTGGTATTGCAAATATCTTAGTGTGTGAGTCAGGATAGCTGTGAAGCAAGTAAATAGTCCCATTCAAGAAAAAGCCTCAAAGTAAGTAGATAAAGGTTTATTCAGATTATTATTATTATTTGCCTGTGAAGGATTACTAGTTAATTATTAGTTGCACTGTGGTAGTGAATTCCCATGAATAATGTTCTTCTGACCCTCAATATCTAAACTTTGTGGTTTCTAATGGTTTTTATTCATGACAAAAGGATTTGAGAGTTCTGTACCTTTTTCAAAGCCAATGTTGTCCTACAGAGATAAGAGCTTGTACATTTTGTCATTTACCTTAAAAATGACCTGTAGGCTCCCAGGAACATGACTCCTGTTAAAGTCTGTTGAAGTTATGAGCACCTTGAGGGA